GGACGGCTGCCCATCTGTCCTGCATGGAAAAGGAGCCACGTGCTCACAGAACCTGCTTCAGACAGATGGCAGGCGTCCACCCTGTGGTCAGTTTCCCTGTAGTCAGTGTCACCTTCTCTTCATGTCCCGGGTTCAGTGTCGCAGAAGTGACCAGGTCAGGGTCACTGAGTCATGTCAGGGCCTCACATCCGCCCAGTAGTTAATAAAGGGTGATATCTACCCTGTGGTCAGTGTGGCCTGACCTGCACCCTGTGGTCAGTGTCACGTCTTGTTCTCATCCTGGGTCAAGAGTCTCAGGAGTGACTGTCAGAGCCTCATGTGCACCCAGTGGTCAGTGAGAAGTAACGTCCATCTGTGGTCAGGAAGGAGTGATGTCCACCATGTGGTCAGTGTCCCTGTGGTCAGTGTTACCCTCTCCTCCTGGCCCTATGTCAAGGATCACGGGAGTGACCACTTCAGAGTCACCGAGTTGTGTCAAGGCCTCACATCCACCCAGTGGTCAGAGTGGCCCTGGGGCCAATGTCACCCTTTCCCTGTGGCTCTGGATGGGGGTTGCCCGTGGCTGACTGTCTGTGCTCAGGAACTTGGTGATCGCCTCACTCAAGAGACAAGCACCAGCCCTCGAGGCTCCTGGTCTCTCACACCCAGAGACGTGGTTTCCAGGCAAGGGCCTAGAGCACCTTTCCCACGAGAAACAGCCTGAGCTGGGCTGAGAGGCTGAGCGGCTTGGAGGGGGTGGACGATAGAGGTTCCTCTGACGTTTCCCTGTCCGGGGAGCCGGGTGGTGCTGGAGCCGAGGAAGCAACACGGAGCAGGAGCCAGCAGGTGTGGGAAGAGGAGGGGGCCGTCACCTGCTGGGAGCACAGGACAACCACGGTCAATGTCAGCAGAGCACAGGGGGTACGCCGAGTCCAGGTGGTCACGCCCACGCTGGGCACATACGAAGGTGGTTCAGATAAAACTGAAAAGAGGAAATGTGGAAAATGGTGCCAGGCGCTGAGAGAAACTAGTGTGCAGCAGGGCCAGAGAGAAGGACGCAGGGCAGGACGTGCAGCAGGTGACAGGCAGGAGTGCAGGATGCAGCAGGGCAGGTCCAGGGTCAGAGGCGGGACGTGCAGCAGGAGAAAGTGGGGTCCTCTTGTGGACTGTGAGCCCTAAGTGGGCCTTCAGGAGTTTGGGGGTAGGCAGGAGGCTCAGCCCAGCAGCAGGAGCCGTGGGGATGGGGAAGGTCCTGGGTCTCAAGAGTCGCTGAGGAAGAGCAGGAGGGTGGGGCCCGGGAGAGGCCAGGGTGGCCCCGAATGTCACCGAGTGTCAGACACACAGCACCTGCCCAGCTCATGTGAGGGGTGCCGGCTCTGGGCAGCTGTCAGAAGGCACCGCAGACCACGGGGCTTGGACGGGGGTGTTTATGGAGACTTGGAGACCAAGGTGGGGCAGGGCTGCTTCCTTCTGGGGCTCTAAGGGGAATCTGTCCAGGTGTCTCCCGGCTCCTGGGGCTGCCGGCAGTCCTTGTGTTCCTGGGCTTGTGGCCACATCGCCCCAGTCCCTCGGCCTTCACTTGGCTGCAACCCTGTGTGTGTCCACGTCCCGACCTCCTCTTGTCACGAGGACAGCTGTCCTATCAGATGAGGCCCACGCGAGCAAGCTCGTTTCATCTCACTCACCTCTATAAAGACCCTGCTTCCAAGTAACGTCCCGTTCTGAGGTCTGGGGTCAGGACTCCGCCTGTCTTTGGGGAGGTCACTCTGGGGGTAGCTGTGACCAGCGCTGGGAGGTTTGACACGGCATGGTGGGGGAGGGGGAGTCCTTGACATAGAAATCGAGGAGGGCCTCGTGGAGGCGGCAAATGTTTGAAGCCGATGTCCATAGCCCGGCTTCGGAGGAGAAGCGCTCTGGGTCAGCATTATTTGGGGGCTAGTTTACCAGCCTACAGCTCATGACTATAAGGGAGTCAGTAAGCATCAGGGTCCAGCCATGTCCAGGGCCCCAACAACCTGGTGGTGTCTCGTCCAGGCCTCGTCCCCGTCCTGGTGTTGGGGTGGCCTCACCCAGGGGTCTGCCTGCTGCAGGCACTCACGGAGCTGGAAGCGGTCCCCAGCCCTTTCCCCGACTCTCATTGCAGCGAACCTGAGGCTCCTGTACCAGCTGCCACAGGGGCAGGGCATGCCCGATGGGATGTGCGTGGACGCTGCAGGGAAGCTCTGGGTGGCCTGCATCGACGGGGGCAGAGTGATCCGCCTGGACCCCGAGACAGGAGTATGGGCCGCCCCGAGCTGTGGCCGCATACAGGTGTCCACTGTGTGCACGGAGTTCCGCTCCAGGAGCCAGGACAAGGCGGTAGCCACGTTTTGTGGACACACTTGTCCAGCTACAGAGGCATCTTCCTTTCCTAGATGGCAGGATTCTCCAGCTCCCTGTTTCATCATTCAGCAAGTGTAGGCGTCCTGGGACTGCCACAGAAAGGACCACACACTGGGAGGCTTAAAACAACGGGAATGTATTGTCTCCCAGTTCTGGAGGCCGAAGTGTGAGATCCAGGTGTGGCAGGGCCGAGCTCCCTCCAGAGGCTCCAGGCGAGGATCCTTCCTGCCTCTTGCAGCTCCTGGTGGCTCCAGGTGTCCCTGGCCTTGTGGCCGCATCACTCCAGTCTCAGCCTCCATCTTTACATGGCTTCTCCTCTGTGTCTGTCT